CATCGGTTAATTTTCCTTTACATCATTAAACATCACGTATTCCCTCTGAAGGAAGAAGCAAGGGGGCACAATGATTCTGTTATGCTGTGCAGTAATTGTATGTACGAATTTGAATGTTGACGTTTTTCCCCCCAAAAACGTTGTCAATTTTTTCTCATAAAATTTCCAGAAACACAAAATAGAATCGCAAAAATAGCTTTCTGGACAGGTCTCACATTTTTTTGGAAGATCTGTGTAGGTATTTAGAAAAAAACACAGCAATATCCAAACATTATTACAGCTTTTTTCCGCAGCACAGCAATATTCTGGCGAGGTTTTTTTTTCTTCAAAAAAAAAATTAGAAAAGAACATAATAAATGAAAAATGAAATTAAGTCAGTAAAGGGATTGGTAGACAAAGAGCAGATGAGAAAGAAGTGAAATGCCCAGGGAAAAATATCCGGAAGAGAGCAAGACATATTCATGTATCGGTTGGTGGTCCTTGTCTCGCTATAAATCAATCAGAGTCCGTTTTGGCTGCCAACTGCTCCTCTGGCATCCGCTGATGAATATCTTTCAAATAATTGGTCGTACAGTTGGCACGAAAATAGCGCATGAACTATCAATTTCGAGTGGGAGTTTGAGTATTCGAATCTCGTATTTTATGGCTATTGATTATTCTGGGTGTTATCTTGGAAAGAAGAAATGGATAGTGCTCTATTAAATAAAGCTATTTACATGTGGAGCCTTCGTCCGGTATCATTCATTATTCAGTTACATTTAAACTCAACCAAGGAAACCAAAGAAAACAAATTATTTCAACTTTCCTTTTTCCTCTTTTCCCTGAAGAGCACTAAAATATAAGGTCCATTCTCTTTGTATATTAAATATCACTGGCACTTCCTATCTTGGAATTCTAAAATAATGTAATAGTTTAAAAATATTGAGCAACAATCTTATCCTTATTTTTTAAAAAAAAGTTTCAAGATTACAAGTTAATGGGCCACATTTAACAGAAATGCACCGAGTTGCATCAAGTTGAATGAGAATTTTGAAATTCCACTCCACCATAATGTGCAGTGTTAAGGACTGTTCAATGACAATTTTCACTTTCAAAAGACATATTTTTTTGGACTCAGAATTTCTCACAGGAGAAAATAGAATTTCTGACAAGAAAAAATGTATGACTAATTGAATTCAAAACCGCCCCCAACTAATTTGTTTTTCCCTCTCAGAAATGCGTCTTGATGTGTTTCTGTTAATCTTGGTCTAATTGGTGGTAATTGGTCTGTAAATCTTTGGTCTTGGTTGTTATAATATTGAAGTGAAACCTTATCGAGTGAGAGAAAGGAGCCTAAAGAAAGCGGAGCCCATCTCAGCAATTGAGTCATAAGACTAATTTGTATTAATGAGTAATGACCTAATTATCTTATGAGGAGCTAATATGCCTGGCAGCAGCATTGGTTTCTGAATAATGCTGAAGAACACTATGGCATCTTTTCTCCCATCCAATTTTCTGCCTGGATTAATCCCACCTCACAATCTTTTTTCATTCTTTCTTTCTTTTTTCAGTGATAACATCATGGCTCTCAAAATCATTAAAAATGTTGACAAGTACCGAGAAGCTGCAAAGCTAGAAATCAACGTTCTAGAAAAATTAGCCGAAAAAGATCCAGATAGCAAACAGTGAGTATTTCACTTTTTTTTAATGGATGTGTGATAATTTTTGTGAGGCTGAATTACTTTAGTTCCGCGCAAAACGACGAGTAAATTTCAAGTAACGTAGAAGGACTTTCTCTCGGCTTGCTAACATGAAAGGGTTTCCAACAGTCCACAAGCAAGTTAATTTCTTGCTTCCATGACAATTGAAACTTTATTACACACTCTCGGTGTCTGAAACAACTCAAAGAACAAAGAACTTTATAGTTGAATCCTACAAGAGATTAACATCTGCTTTGATGCCTTGTGCAGGACCATACCGTTACTAAATAATTTGTTCTGGTAGATATACCTGCGAATTAAAGGACTGAAGAAACTTTGAACATGTGTTCACCTATTAATGGGAGGAGTTGAGCAAACTTTTTTTCTGCGGTTTTAAACAAAATCAGCCTAATTGCGTTTCATGTTTTTAACGGAAAATTAGAAGAATGAACGACCTCTTAGTTCTGTAAACATATTGAATCAGAATGTACGCAAATTGATACCCAGTATTACTAGAGTACCTTTATAGACAGAGTATGGCCATTCGTATCTCTTTACTACAGGAAAACTGTGCCGCTTTTTGATTGGTCAACGAGTTTTTAGGCTTCATGACGCTCTAACGGCCGTAAATAAACAAACAAGTTGGCGGCTCACCGTAACATCGATAAGAAGCTAAAGTTTGACAAACATTTCAATTATACGGCAGTAACAATTTAAACTAGCATATCTGCGAATAACATATGAAAAACACATGAAAACACTGTTAAATTGCCTTTCGCCTCTATCATAGGAGGATGTAAGATGTGCATAACCTCAATCTTGCTTGCTGATAACAGCCATCTTGTTTGTTTATTTACGGCGGTAAGAACATCGTGTCAGCCTATTTTCACGCGACCAATGAAAAACCGGAACAGAAATGGCCATACTCTGTCTATAAAGGTACTCTAAGTATTACAAGGATTCATTCCTCTTTTTTACGAGTTAATTTAATACCCCGTTTTCATCTCAATTCAACTCTAATGCTGCTTTACTCTTTCTTTTATTTCAGTTTATGTGTCAAAATGCTGGACTGGTTCGATTATCATGGTCACATGTGCATTGCATTTGAAATGCTAGGATTAAGCGTCTTCGACTTCTTGGTAAGCATGGGGAAGATGGTAAGCTTTGTCTCCTTTAGATGACTCATCATCTCAATTCATTTCTTTGTACTCAAATTGGCACAAACAGACAAGAAGTTTGGCTGATCAAGGATCAATACAATTAATTTGGTTTTAGTTGTTTTCCGTCTATTAGTGGACCATTGTATAAAGTTCAGTAGAAAGGAATACAATATTTTTGCTGCTTCGTTAAAAAATCTTTGTCTCTTATACGAAGGATCGTATCTTGTCTGCACTGTTTCTGTATTTCTACTAACATTTTTTTGTTGTTTTTTGATGGGAGAACCATGAAACGAATCAGTCCGAAAAACCCAGAGTCTATTCTCACCAGGATAGGGGGAAAAAATAAAAAAAAAACTCGAAATTTCAGGAAAATTAATGCAATGGTTCTCCTATAAACAAATAAAATCTAAGTAAGAAATACTGAAACAGAGCATTCAAGATGTACAGGAGTAGGCTAAGTGAGCCTGTAATGGACAATGCAGGAGACTGACTGTTTCATCAATCTTACATTGTTTTTGACTCCTTTTTGCTAAACTTTAGGTTTTCAGCAATGAAGGCTTTTATGAAGAGCATAAAGTTAGTTAAAAACAAAAGCAAAACAACACGTCCTGACGTAGTACATATTCCTATCCTGAAAATCCTATCGTCTGACTAGCGAGTGCAGGTTCTTGCAATTGACCTTCTTTTCAAAATTCTTATATTGAGTCTGCTAAGGTGGGAGGAAGAAACCATCAGTAGAAAATTGTTTCCTATTGCTAATTGGTGCTATCCTTGGCCTTTGTGCCATCTGTGTTACAGTTCCATAAGTATTGCAGTCTGTCGTGTCTATTAAATAATACACGCCTGAATTGATATTGCTATAAAGATTCTACATTATCTAGGGCTAAGATTTATTACTATGTTGAGCTGCCGCTCGATCTGTGTCTTTGAGATGCAAAAATCATCGTAGTGCACAAATTAATGCTAGAAACTAATTCAAAAAGTGTAGCAGCATTGTTACTGAGTAGTATGACATCAAATTTCTGAGAATTCATTAAAAATTGATATTGTATACTATCATCATGGACGTTGCCTATTGAATCAATGTGTGTAAGAGAGAGTCAGCATTTAAATATCTTTCCTTTACATATTAAAATCAGTAAGAGACGCCCAGTATAATATTTTCGGATATGAATTTTCTATAAATATTCACACATTCGGTGTCATACTACTCAGTATTAATGCTGCTACTTGTCATGGATTAATTTATTGCATTAATTCATACATTATGATAGTAATTGCTTCTCAAAAACACAGACCATGTAGCAGTGGAACGTAGAGGGAGATCTCATCCGTAGATCATCTAGAATCGCGTTAAAAGTGCTGAAGGTTTATTTCTGTAGTCATCATGACATTAGTATAAAAACCGACAGAACTGAATGGATAGGTGCATGCCAACCCTCATTTTCCCAAAGTAGGCTTAAAATGTCATTCGAAAAATTGCTTTCTACAAGTACACTGCTTCCTGGGTCCAAACCTACTCAGCCTCCTGTACAGCAGTAGCATAATTAACTAAATATTGTGAAATTTCTGTGCTAAAATGTTTAAATTCATTTACGATATGAAATGCCAAATTTGATGTTGCAACTGCAAAGGACCCCGCACGGTTCTTATGGGANTTTGCGGTGTTTAAAAATCTACGCTCACATTTTATTTTTTTGAAGTAGACCAAATCAATATCATTCCTTGAAATTTTCACGGAATTTTCTCCGCACAAAGAGGAAAAATCACAGAAATTTTCAAGACTGGATGTTAAGTAGTTTTTCATTTAAAAAATAAAGTATGACAGGAAGTCTGCGACGTCGCAAACCGAGATACGTGGTTTGGTAGTTTCACCGTCGATATTAAAATCAGTCAGAGACGCCCAGTATAATATTTTCAGATATGAATTTTCTATAAATATTCACACATTCGGTGTCATACTACTCAGTATTAATGCTGCTCCACGTCATGGATTAATTTATTGCATTAACTTGTACATTATGATAGTAGTTGCTTCTCAAAAACACAGACCATGTAGCAGTGCAACGTAGAGGGAGATCTCATCCGTAGATCATCTAGAATCGCGTTAAAAGTGCTGAAGGTTTATTTCTGTAGGCATCATGACATTAGTATAAAAACCGACAGAACTGAATGGATAGGTGCATGTCAACCCTCATTTTCCCAAAGTAGGCTTAAAATGTCATTCGAAAAATTGCTTTCTACAAGTACACTGCTTCCTGGGTCCAAACCTACTCAGCCTCCTGTACAGCAGTAGCATAATAAACTAAATATTGTGAAATTTCTGTGCTAAAATTTTTAAATTCATTTACGATATGAAATGCCAAATTTGATGTTGCAACTGCAAATTTTACGGCATGGCTGCAATTGAAAGTAATACGGCAGCCAAAAGCGGGTGATTTGCGCCAGAAACAGTGTGCTCCTAACGACGCTTAGTTTTCGAGAGGGAGCAAAAAGTTTAGTTTTGATTTCATGTTAGGTTAAATGACATCTGCTTTGTTAGTGTTGAAGTTTATTTGATTTTTCTTGCCTTGTTTGATTACAGAAAGACAACAACTATCAGCCGTACACACTTGAACAGGTGCGGCACATTTCGTATCAGCTCTGCTATTCTGTGAAATTCCTGCACGATAATCGATTGACACATACAGACTTGAAGCCTGAGAATATTCTATTCGTCAATTCTGATTACGATGTCATCTACAATAGCAAAAGAGTAAGTAAATTGTCACCACGTTATCCTTAAAGGAAGTGTTGATGAGCATTACTGAGAATACAACTAGGGTTGTAAAGATGTACAGTGAAACCTCAATAACTCGGTTCCCGGATAAGCCGGTAACCCGCGTTAGTCGGTAGAATCGCCCGGTCCCGTTTATCACCCATATAACACAATGCTAAATAAGTCTGGATAGCTAGGTTTGGTCAGATTCTGAAACCGCTTAACTCGGTGAATTTTTCCATCTCGCCCTGTTTTTCTTCGATTGTCACCCGTGATCAAGCGTAGGTAGTGTATCCGTGCGGGTCGGGTCAAGTTACGCCACGAAGGATGAGCTAATCTCCGAGAGAGCGCAGCGCAGTGTGAGAGACGACATCGGAAATAGAGAGATAAGGAATCAAAAACACTCGATAACAACACGAAAGATGAGAACAGTAGAGAATAGGATATCTGATACCGCGTGTGAAAACACGCATGCATAATTAAGCAATTTTACGCATCGATGAGTTGACAGGTCCAGTCGGCACCAGCCCCTCTCCCCCTACCAGCTTGCATTGCCCTTCCCCGCTCCCCCCAGGAATCTTCCGCAGAGTTTTTCGCGGATTTTAGCGAGTATTGATACGTTGCATTTTCAGTGCAACGACCCGCCATAGTGGGCGGCTGCGGCGCATCACCGCGCGGTACCCCAACAAACGATTGACCCGATGACTCCATGATGCCCTGATACTTTCAACACGCAATTTCAAGTGCATTTCATGTAATTTTACCATGCACGTTTGTGTTTGTCCAATTTAGGGCGCGAAATTTGGAAAAGCACGGCGGAAAAGTGGCAGTTCGCGTAAGTCGGTAACCCGCTTCTTAACTCAGTAAATTTCCTCGGTCCCAATGGAAACCGAGTTATTGAGGTTTCACTGTAATGTGTTTGATATTTATCAAACAGGTAAGAAAAAGACAGACATGTCATATAGATTTATAGTTTCATGAAATTGAAACCCTTGTCAGTGAACCATATAGATAATATAGCTACCGTTGGTTCCTTAATTTTCCTATTGGCTACCCAGAAATTACATTACGCTTTGAAAGGGAGGACAGTTCGTTAGTTTGTGTGCTAGGTGCATCAGTAGGGTTGGAGGGGATCTAAGTTTGAAACCTGATGTAATCAACAGACAAATCCCTACGCTTCAGTCATGTCACTGTTATGAGAGGCTGGAAGAAACAGCGCATTACCTAAATCCGTCACAGGATGAACGTTCATGGGATAATGGTGCACATGCTTCAGCAGATGTTTCTCAATAGAAAGTGGGAATCATTGATTTTAAGCGGGTGATGTACATTCTGAACTCCTTGATGAGTATCAGAAACTTCTAGAAACTTTTTCCTTCTTGTCCATGTTGATGTTCATTTTTTAAGAATCTCAATGAATGCAATCTGTATTAGCTTTAACGAGCCAGTCTTCATGGCGCCGGCTCTCTTTTTAATATGTCAAGTTTGACCCTTTTCAGAAAAAAGAAGTCAAGAGGATTAAAAACACGGATGTGAGGCTAATAGATTTCGGAAGCGCTACGTTTGACCATGAGCACCACAGTACCATTGTATCAACGAGGCACTATAGAGCTCCAGAAGTGATTTTAGGTGAGTTAGCTCTGATCTTAGTTTTACCAATTTGTTTGCACTGGAAAAAAAAAACACATTTGATCTGAAGTCCAGACTCTTAAAAACATCAACAAGAAAAAGCACTCTTGATCCAATCAGAATCTAGCTTAAATCAAGAACCAAGCCTCTTAATTTAAGCGGATTTCGTTTTGATTCAAGCAAAAATCCGATTGAATCAAGAGTATTTTTTCTTGTCAATATTTTCAAGAGTCTGGACTCTAGATCCAATGTGTTTTTTTTTCCAGTGTAGCAATCAATCCTAATCAGTGCTTTAACATACTTGGGTATTTATAAATATGGGTAAATAACCGTCTGCCTTAGACCTAATGCAATTCCTAAGCTTTGCAACACACTTCGCAAACTTGTTAATGAACATTTTTTTGCTATCTTGCGAAACTGTCGTAAACTTTTTTAATAGGCAAAACTATTCAATGTATTTTTTAAATACTCTCTTTATTTTAACCCCTCTCTAAGTGATGCATTTTAGTTGGACATTTAAAGCACAAACAAAGTTAGTCAGAGTTAGCAAATTTTTCTCAGATAATAAACTTTCTTCAAGAATTCCTGGTCAGTGTGGACCAATTCTTTTTCTTTATTTTATCTCTCACCTTCTACCTGTGGACAAAACTAGTGGACATGTTCAGGGTTTCTGCTCGTGGAAAACTCAAGGAATTTGGCAAGCAGCATTTAGCGGAAGCTAGCGCAATCCAAGAAGAACTAAATCCAAATAAAAAGTTTGTTGATGGTCAGGGGTAATTAGTTAGGGGAAAGCAAATAACCTTAGGGAGAAAATCGGAAAATAAGGAAATGTGGGAACGCAGCATGTGGAAACCTTCAAATTTTTAATAATCTAAACTCATCGACTTAACTGATTCATTATATCGTCGCTGGGCTAATGGAAGAGCATAACTACACTTTGAGATCATCCTAGGAAAGCATTGAGTTAAATGGATGACAGGGCTCATTACAAAATATAGTTATGTCCTTATGTCAGGAGGGTAATAATATGCTCCACTGGAAAGGCGCAGGTAGAGTATGGAAGTTCTATAAACGACTTTGAATTTAAGACAGGAATCGAACTTTTGGGGGAGTTGTTGAATGTGTCAAATAATTTAGCCACTGATTAAATCTTAATCCATAAGAACTGGGCACTGGTTTCCGTATCCACTGCCTACAGATTAGGAAACCGATTCAAACACTGGAACATTCAAGACAATAATAGATAAGCTCTAACTTTCATGTTAATATTTCATTCTTTCTAATGCAAATTACTAATGAGTTTCAAATTCTCATGTTTTACAGAATTAGGTTGGGCGCAGCCGTGTGATGTTTGGTCCATTGGATGTATCATGTTTGAACTCTACTTGGGTATCACTTTATTCCAAACGCATGATAACAGGGAACATTTAGCCATGATGGAAAGAATTTTAGGACCGATTCCATATAGGTAATTTCTGTGAATCTCGTACATTGTGCATGCATGTTCTTGTCTAGATTGTTTTATTGCTGAGGGTCAGAGAATCATTACTAATGTTTGTAGGAAGCAAGTTAATCTCTCTATCAACCAGTCAAGTCGAAATTCTTCCGATAAAAAAATTTGTCGCTGTGTTCAAATGAAACATTTAGTTCTGACAAGAGTGGATTACATCGCGTACGATGGGATTTTATCTTAAAGTCCAAAAGTGGTAGAGATGCTGTTGCGATTTATTGCTCTATATCACAAATGCAATGAAGCTGCTTTCCCTCTCAATGAAATAAAAAAATTACCAACAGCGGAAATTTCAAGCTGGCTCCTTTCATCAAAATGACTTTTTTTTTTACTAACATTTTTGACATAATTACCAGATCCTAAACTTTTTTTCATGATCTTGCTCCTTGGACACAAAATCTTAAGAGTCAAAGACTTCCGTGTCTAAGTTTTTTAGTGTCTTAGATGTAGGGCTGTTCAATCGGTTGTCGGTAAGCCACCGAAACAGTTCCGTTAAGAAAAAGTTACGATAAGAGCGCTCTTGCCGATAGCGATCAGAGTTTTCGGAGCTGGCGAAAATAAGCTGTTGCCAATTGTACATCTATTTTACGCGCCGCCGCGCCAGGCAATCTGATAAACCGACACACGGGGCAACAATGTATTGAGTGCGAGCTCTCAAAACTCCGATAAGGCCGGCTGTTGTCGATATCATGGCCACTGTCGGTACTGCCGCCAGTTTCAATAAGAGTCGATGTCGATAGTGTTCCGGCAAGAATTCGTTTGAACACCCCTACTTAGATGCCCGCAGCAATTGTTATAAGTAATGAGTAACTTCTTGCTTTTGGTATAATTAAGGGGTAATTTCCAAACATTTTGAGCAAAATTTTCACTGAAATACTACAGGAAGGTAGAGAATTTAGCTCTCTTGCCCCCATTAATAATATTTGAGTCAAAGATGTATCTTGCCTAATTTCTTCTTACATTTCAGTATTTTTTTATCCGGTCCAAGTGTATATGTACGTCCCTATCTTAAAGTTTAAAATAACTGTAGCTTAAATCACTGATACAAGATTATACCATCATAAGATCTCTCAGAGCTTCAACTGTATTATGCTTACATTTTTTAATGTTGTCAGATTCTAATAACTTAGTTCCTTCATTAACTCAATCATTTCAATTACTTTCAGAATGGCACGGAAAACTAAGGTGAAGTACTTCTATCATGGGAAATTGGATTGGGATGAAAAGAATTCTGCTGGTCGCTATGTCCGTGATAATTGCAAACCTTTGATGGTAAGTCCTGCATGCTGTAAAATTTGCAGTAAATACTGTGCCCTGTAAATCACATTATTAAGGCAAGACATGAGTAAACGGAATGAACAAACAGAAGAAAAATGAGTCAAAACTGTAGAATGTAAATCATAACTGTCTTTGCTTCATTCCTTTTAATTTACAGGTTATAGATTTTCGGCTGAAATTTGAAAAATGAAACAATATTCCTGATTCTAACTTTTTAATTTCTCCTATTAAGGTTCTGAGTCCCTTTCCTTTTTACCTCCTAACAGGAATTGGTGAATTCATCCTGGGCACAATGCAAACTTTTTGTTTCATGAAGAATACCCCATAAATATAATCTTTAAAAAATTTTCTGTCATAAGTTTTGAAATAACTCTGATGTCCAGTGCTGACTTCAGAATGTGGGTAAAAGCCTGACAAGATGGTCGATTACAATGGATACTTAAAAAATCAGGAAAATATTTGCTTATTTTGGCAGTGGAATGTGGGAACAATTGGAACCCCGTGACACAGAAATCTAGCTAACAGTTGGTCTTTTTTTCTTCTATGTATTTTATTCAAGTTCACACTTACAATCAATTTACTTGTTAACATATATTTTCTTTTGTACTTTTCTGCAGCGGTATATCAATGAAGAAGATGAAGACCACAAGCAGTTATTTGATCTGATCTCACGCATGCTCGACTACGAGCCAAGTTCACGTATCACGCTTGCAGAAGCCCTTACGCACCCATTTTTTGATAAAATTCCACTCCACCAAACCCTTTTCTCAAGAGAGCGCAGCCACTCAATATCCAGGTATGACAGAAAACGGGCATCTTGATTCATACCAACAATCCATGCAGATCGTCCCAGTTTCAGGGATTCATCCCTTGCGCCAAGTTTTGTCCTGGCAGAGCTCCTGCAGAAGAGATCTAGACAAAGCTGGTTGAGAAAATCGCCCATAATTGCCTAGGAAATTTATTATTCGTTGAATATCATATTGATATTTTCGTAATTTTAAGCTCACCTGAAGAATTGAAGGGGGTACAAATATATTTAAAGTTCCTTAAAGAGTGTCTAAATATTTTAAATCTTTAGGACCTGAAAATTTTCTTAGTTTGATTTAGTATCACAGCTGGAACCGTCTTCTTGGTCTAGGAATCATTTTAAAATTCTGTTGTCATTGATTAATGAATTTAAGAAAGCTCTCTCCAATAGCATTAAGAATTTTCAGAGCCAATTCTACTGTGATGTTGCTTTAAATTTTTATATATATATATACTTATGTGTGTGTAAAAAGCTCCATTAAAAAACCAATGAGACAAGTAAACTTATATTTTCATTTTGCTGTGTTAAAGATTTTTTTTCAGTTAAATCATATAACGTAAGAAAAAAAGCCCATTTTATGCTTTTCTGCAACTCCATAAACCATGTATAATTAACCGCCTTGGTAACGGTGTTAATTTTATAGCCTTATTCTACCAAAGAGAATGGAACTGGCGATTTTGAGATTTTAAGCCTTATTTTTTGCTTCCAATAATAATTTCATGCTAGCTTTCCATTTAAGTTAACATGAAAAGCTATCCTCGTTTGGCTTATTCTTTGTCTCAACACCATTTTCAGCCAGCCTTGTCCCTCTCTAAAGTTGACGGCTTTTAAATTGTTTCAGTGTCTTTTCTTTCTCCCCCCTATTGTCAAACCCCCTCTCACAGTTGTTATTTCTTTAGTGAACAGACTGAAGAATGTCAAAACGTTTAATCTAAGTGGTCATTCCGACTCCATTCTATATAAATACCTTCTTGTAAATGGAAGGATTTCAAAATCAATGTGTCAACGTCTTTTTAGTTGTTGGTGAAATTCCCAGGTTGTTTATGATTGGAACCATTCTCAATTTATAGCAAGATTATAGAATCAACCCAAATACTTAATCCCTTTCATTTAGGCGGCTTCAATTTTCAGAAATTTCATTCCCAAGGATTCCTAAGAATTTTAAAAGATGATTATCTGCTAAGAATGAAAAGTTAACATTGTCTCAAATAAAAAAAAATCTATCAACTCATTGTCAAACTTTCCTATATTCAGGAATTTCTGTTTCTTCTAAGAATGCCTTCAATTCGATATACTTGCCAAATTTTGCCATCGTTTTTTCTTCATCACAACGAAAATGATGACATTGTAGAAATGAAAATTCATGGCCAATGAAAATGTGCTCTATAAAAATCTGTAACACGTGTTGTCCAACACAAAGTGGATAAAGTGAAATTGAAAAATTAAGGACATTTCGAGAGAATTGGATATTTCAAGTTTCCTGACGAAGTTTTTATCACAAACAAATTCAGTTCTGGGCTCTATGAAAGATCAGATGTGATTAGCCCAAGGGGATAAAATGGCGTCACAGTTCAGTGTACCAAGACAGGTGTAGTAGTCAAGGCACCGAGCTAATTGATTTTTTGTAATTTTTTTTACATTTTACCATGGTTTTCCCTGTTTTGGTTTCATTTTTTTGATTTTTGAAAGCAGTTTCCTCTGAACAGTCAGGAAGAAGTTTTAATTGCTAATGAAAGTGAGCTAAAAATATCCGTAATTTTGAACTGCTTCTTTACTGTGATACAGGTTTTCTCCGTTTTTGCAGTGTTTTCTGTACTTAAGCTTTGACAACCATTTTCCTACCCTATTTGCTCGATAGTAAGACAAACTTTCTTGCTTGTTATCAGGTGAAGGCGGGCCATGCCGTTGTGACCACATGATCCCCTTAGCGCAACTATGTGGTACGACGGCTCCTCGGGATATGATTATGTTCACGCCTCTTCATTCTCAATTTGACTGTTGTTTGTCATGATTCCTTTGCGAAATCCTCCTATCAAAGTATTTCCTAGTCCTCTCTCTGTTGAGCTACTGCTTGCTGAGTACCCTGTAGTTGAAGATATTTGTCAAAATGGAGTGAACTGTCAAATACCGTATGCACTCAAGTATAATGTACACCTTCCTATTCTGAAGTCAGAAATCCTGCTGCGGGTTGTGTATGGAGATAAAGAGAATAACTTGATACCTGCCTGTGGCTCCGAAAGAACCCAGAAAAGGTGATAGCCTTAGCTATAGCACAACAGCAGGTTTGGACGAGCATCACTCCATTGCAAAGATTAAACATCAATGCTAGGCCAAAGAAGGCGTGTGTGCATCCTCTTTGCCGACCCTCTGTGCAAGTATTATAGTCAGTAGGGTTGCTACATTTGTCCAGTCAAGTGATATGGGGTGGAGAATTCATCTCTTTTTGGAGATCTCTTGTCTATCAGTGTTTTCTCTTAAACATTGAGAAAATGTAATTCATCTCTTTTTGGAGATCTCTTGTCTATCAGTGTTTTCTCTTGAACATGGAGAAAATGTAGGTGATGAGAAGTGATCAGTCTTTTTTACAGTTCAAAGGTGTGCATTAAACATGAGATATTCATTTCGTTCAACTAATACACAGCACTGTGCATTTTACAGAACGCTGAGTTGTAAATAAAAATACGGTATGAATTGCATCCTTCCAAATAATTATTTTTAGCTTATTGATACTGCAAGTCAGTAATAGTGTAATTTGAAAATTTTATATCTATAACTAAGAATTGTATTGAAAATGTTTCGCTGAACTCTTGATGAGAGCCTGAATATTCTTGTCGGAAGATCAGTACTTAGTTTCGTAACAAGCCAACCTATTGAAAGCCCTTTCCTCTGCTGAACTGCTTATTTTTTAAGAGATCAAGTTACATCTCTCTCCTCTTTGATTATTCTGTGCTATTTCAGCTTCCTAGAAATTGTTTTTTCTTCAACCAATATTTCCACTTCCATCCTGAGGTATTGGAAAGGCTAAGTTTTTTATCATGGCTGTTAAATAACATGAAAGTAATTTTTAGTTTTTCACTCAATGCTCTCAAATGTTCTCAGACTTAGATTACCGTAGTGATGAAAACATAATGTTTGTTTTATAAAAAAATTTCACTCCTCTGTAACTTTTGATTTTACCCCTCCCCCCTTTTTTTTGTCCCTATCTTTCCTCTTTTTAGCCACCTTGTAAAATTTGTGTAATTAAATGTTATTTATTTTTTACAAATTTAAATTGCTGTAAATATATTTTTTTCTTTTATTTCTCTTTGTTATCATTACGATTTCCTCTCCGTTCAGCCGGAAGTGGGCATTTCCCATTTTTGTTACGAAGGATCCCGAATAATCCTGTTAAATTGAAAAATAAATATTACCTTATGAATTGTCAAATGTATCGTTTTAAAAACAAGTAGCAAAAGCTACCTGCTGAGGGGGCGCCGCCCCCCCAGACTCCCCCTTTCAAATTATGTATGTGAGACTTTCAGTATCATAGAAGTCGTGCGGCGACATGCCGAATGAAATGCCACAACTAAAATTATTGGATCAGATGATGAGCTGATAAAAGCCTTAACTAGTAATTTTGGAGCATTTCTGACACAGTTTGGTTGCTTTAATTATCACTTTAATTTGCGAAATACAAATTGTTTTTACTTCGTACGTAGTTAAATTTGATTTTGACTGACTTAGTTTCTGATGGATTCAAACTCATAATATATATTTATGTTCCAGGGAAAGAAAAAATTAATGGAAATACAGATGAGCTACACTTCTCATGAATATAGATTGATTAAAAATAAATAATCCGAAGAAGTGATGGAATAAATGATGATTGTTTACTACAGTAAATACTATAGTATACCTAGGATTCCTAGGAATTTTAAATAAAATCCCACCCATCACTAAAATAGCCCATATGTATATACTGGTGCCTGCTTTCGGCTCGATTTCGTCGAATGGAATTCCTTTATCATCGCGGTTGTCCTTGTTGCGTGCGGGAGGAAATGAAGGCGTGCTCGCAGTAGCAAGAAACAGACGCGCCAGGTTGCTTGCGACGCATGAATATAGCTTAACCTCCACATATTATTAACAAACCGTCGCGCAGCCGCGCGAAAAGTCCTATACCTACATAGAGAAAAAAAAGGAGGTGTTTGCATCTTGAGGTTTGTTTACCCTGTGACGTAGGTCTGTACAACCTGGCCAGCGAAATTCTAAATATGAAAAAGTGACCATAATTTCCGATTTTTTGTTTGATTTTTAATCAGCTCGTGCTATAATTTCAAGCATTTTTTAGAGAACGGCTCTTTGCCATAAATTACACCATTTCCAAGAAAATCGATGATAAAACTCGTCGTATCGAGCTACGTCATCAAAAAAAGTCCAAGATGCCCGAAATGCAAACCCCTCCTTTTTTTTCTCTCTGCTCTTTGCACCTCTAACTGGCAACCACGTCGGTAGGCATTTTTGATTCGGAGGCTCAATTTTTTATAGGAGTAAACATTTGATCGCCTAAATTCGAACTCCTTGCTCATAAAACTAAATTTTGAACGTAGTGCTTATCATAGCTGTGCTAAATTGGTGTTTCAGCTGTAAAAACGGTGGCCATATTGGGCGCCATATTTGATTTTAGGGTTTCTTAAAGGCCGCAGCGAAAAATGGACCTCATTTTCGGACTCTACGACCCTGAAAACCTAATAATTGATACCTCACTATGCACTTAGATCCGTATAGGCAAATTAGTACCCCTGAGTGGTATTTTTGGCCGCCATCTTGGATTTGGAGCCCTCCTTTGGGTCGGGGGTGTTTTTAAATGTGATCTTCGGATTCCTCGTGTCATTTTACATAGGAATCGACATGTAACTCGACGCTATCTGCAAAATTTAAAAATTCCACCATGGTGGCGGCCATCTTGGACGCCATCTTGAATTCTGGGCGTCGGTTCAATTTCTGAACTTGACAACATCGAAATTCTGATTCTAGACATCCTAAAGAAGAGAACGGTATGTCACAACAATTTTACCAACGAATCTGCACACAGGACCTCTGATTTGTACATGTGGTACTGGACTATCAGTTGGCAAGACAAGACAGCAGCTCTGTCACTGTGCAATTATTGATTTTTGATGTTATGTTAAGCCGACATAAATTTTAACTATCGGGCTACGTTAGACTTTGAGGTCTTCGGCTCTTTAGCTACAAATGAAAATTGACATCCAAACCATCCTTGGTTGGTAAGAAATAGTGAACTTAAAGGTAATTAACAACAGGCAATTTGAAATCTTAGATTGGCTGCCCTTTTTCATTTTAACTTTAGTCATGGAGGCATTAGTGAAGGCCTAATGGATTTCCAACCCCACCGATAATTAGGGGGGTTAGGAACCCGATCCCGCCATACACACCTCGTTAACAAGTAAGGGGTAGGTAATATTGTAACTTTTAGGGATTTCAATGAAAATGTAGTTACTGCGCAAGTATGTGGGGAAAAGAGTATGGAAAAACAACAATTTACAAAAAGGATATATATTTATTTCTTTTTTCTTTCCAGGAAATGGTATAAAAACAGTTACAAAACTTAAGCTCCTAATGATTTTCAAAAACCACTCGTTTCGAACTGGAGCAGCAGATACTGTAATAACAGCTGATTTTATGTATGAAACAAACAGCAACATAAAAATCACACATCTGATATTAGAGAAGGAGAAAGGCTTTAGTATGCATTCAATTATTTGAACATAACAAGCTGACAAATAGTTCTGATTTCTTTGTCGAAGAGGGTGTTTGCATTGTGAGTGAAAATTGTGAAACGAAGAAATGTTTTTGGATGGTCGATAGAGATTTCAATCATTAATTTGAATTTTATACTAAATATTTGAACTATTAGTGCTGATGATACTGATTTTTACTGAAAAAGATACTGAAACAAGACCAAACAATAGTGTTGATAAATTTAGACTGAGTTTTAAAGCAGCCACCCTTTAAAAAACAAACAAAAGAACCATAACAATTAGCCTTTAAAATTAAGCAGTGACACTTTAGATGAATTCAAAAAGAGCAGATTGAAAATTGAGCAATTACAGAGAAAGGAAGTACTCCAGTTTTCAATTTTAACCCTTAGTATAAGAAAGGAATTGACTTTCATGAAATTCAGCAGTCATTCTGAAGTCTTTCCTTCTCCACTTGAAGTTGATGAATTCTGTTTTGTACCTGCTGTATCAGAAAATTTGAGATTCATTCCATTGAAGAATATTTGGATGAGGAATTTACAAATAAACTTATTTACAATTTTACAGAAATAAGGCAGCTAAACTTGGCTAAATGTACAGATCAAACTCAAATGAGCTTTATTCGCTTTCGAATTGAGAAGAAACGAGCTGATTAAAATGTTTTGAGTGCTTCTATATTTTGCAATTATGACAGCTGGTATCCTAACTGACAGAATTTTCATGGCAAACTTCTCAACAAAAAGAAGTCTCAGTCTTAAAAACTGACAGTTGCTAGTGATTGATATCATAATAAATCAATATTGAGTAACAGAGGGCATTAAAATGGACTTCCTACTGGATACAAAGAGAGAAAAGTAAGTTAGAAAACTATCAGTCGACCAGGCAGTTAACAAAAGTAATGATCATCTGTTGCAAGATAAATATTTTAGGATAACAAGACTGATAAAAAAAATATTACACGATTGAAGCGAGTGGTAAAACTCGAAGAGATTTTTGTCTAAAAATTTACGATATACTTTATATAAAAAAAAATAAAATACTTTATCAAGATTAAAAAATTACCAGTCTATGTAAAATTGTAAAATCTTATAGTATTTTTTGTATTTTGCAAGATCCTAGGAACACAGGATAAATTCATTTGGCAAGTAAAAATACTTAAAAAATTATTCAAGATGAGTATTTGATCAATAAATAGGCTGTAAAAAAGTACGGAAGCTCGTTTGAACGAAAGGCCATTTAAGAAGAAGAGATGGGTTTTAAAAAAATACCTTCAAAATTATTTTAGATCCATAAAATAGGATACCTCTGCTGATTCACTGTACTACAAAAGTACAAAAAAATATTAACAACTATTATTAAGGATACTATAAACTAACAACCATCATGTACATCAAGGTGAAGAAGACTTCATAAAATATCAACAAAATGATTTTTATCACAATACACAGTTTGTCCTTCTAAATTGTTATTGAATACCTACATGATCGCTTTTGATTCAAGTTTAAGCTCCAAGAAAATAATTCAGTTTCCTTCATTAGATTTTAAAATAGCAGATAAAAATCTGATTCTCATTTTTTTATACACATCTAAGTGAGTGTAAAAAAAAAACAAATACCTACGGTGTAAAATATTCTCTACATTTTAAATTATATAAAAATCAGATCAAATTCAGATAAATTATTTAAATCTTTCATAAAATGAGTAAAAAAGATTTCAATGGTTGTTGATGGCTGGAGACTAGCTTCGAAAAACTAAAATTGAGAAGATCTAAGTAAATACTTGTTAGATTGGTAAAATACTGAAGCAATCATCAAAAAGGCTTAGAGAGAAGGACTTGACAGTCTTGAAACATCTAATACTTTGTTTATTAATGGCATGACTTGAAGAAACAAAAAGTCAGACATCAAGATAGGTCAAAGAGTCATGTTTCTTGGTGTTTATTAATGGCATGACTTGAAGAAACAAAAAGTCAGACATCAAGATAGGTCAAAGAGTCATGTTTCTTGGTGTAAAATTTGATTATTTAAAACATTAAAATCTTGAATTAGTTAAAGATAAAAAAAAACTTCTACTGATCACTGGAAAGAGTAAAAAAATAGTTTGATCCATTTGGGTTCCTTCAAAAAATACTTATATTTAAATTTTTAAGGCCCTGATAAAAGCAAAAAATCATGACATGATATCAGCTGTCTTGATAAAATAATAGATGAAACAAAAAATACTGAATGATTTGCGATTCCTTGAAAGAAGAATGGTGATTTGATCGACTAAAACACTTTGGATAGAAAAACATCATCCATGATTTAAAAAAGAGGTGACTGATTTAAAGCATTCTTACAGTTAACAAAAAAAAAAAATAAAATAAAAAATAAACCACAGTTGATAATTTTCAACAAGTTGTAACACCTAAAAAATGTACACATCTTAGCGGATAGTTACATATTTACATTCACAAGTGTGCATAGAAGTAGCAACTTTGACGCATATTACGATAAAATGTGCCAGTTCCCTTGCTGAAAAACTGGCAAGTAAATGGTTGCAATCTGAAGTTTGAAACTGAAAAGAAACCTCCAAAATATAACACAAGACAGGGATAACAGCCTTGAAATTTAGTGAACACTAAAAACGTACAGCCAGTTTGAGCAAATGTTGCATCGAGTGTAACTGTTACAAATTGGCAGCAGCCACTCCCTAATAATTTTCTACAACCTTCCTGCTGATACTGAAGAGTAGCATGTTCTGAACAAATAAGACACAGCAAAATGTCTTAACGGAATTTCTTTCCTTGTCCAAAACCACCATGCACTTTCAGTGGATACTTTGAAAGTATAGCTACCAAAAAGAGGGCTAGAATTTGTATTGGTAATTAGGGCAATTCTCTATATTAAATGTACTTCTACGAGTACACAATTAGTTCAGAGATGGACTCGAAGGTTATAGGTGAAAACCAGCAGATGAGGAACATTGGTAACACATTAGCCACCAGGCTCCGCAAATAATATTGTCCTGTGTTTCGTCCAATTGGTGTGGCAATCAACAGGTAAAATAAATCTGTTAAAATGTAGGTGAGAGGGGTGAGGAGGGAGTTAACTTGATGAATCAGCTACTTTTGTCAACCATACAAACTGTCACCAAGGGATCTGTCTCAATATATTTCTGCCAATCCACTTCAGGCTAGGAGGTACTCAACAGCAAACCACATTTTAGGCCCCCAAAACTTTCAAATGAAAAACCTGTGTCTTTTGAGATCTCTCAATTTTTCAGAGAGAGAAAGAGATAGAGAGAAAAAGAAAAATAATCGAGGAACCTAGCTTTCTGGACAATTAAAAAGCAACAGACTCAAGTTGACCTAAAATCGAATAAGATGAACATGGGATTACAAAATCCCATTTTGATTGAAAATATAAACATCTAGAGAAAATTCTAGACAAATGAGATCTTTTCATTTTATTTACCTCTACAGATATATTATGATAACAATCATAAAATTGGGGGTACAAAAGTAACTTGTACCACACTCTCATGTATCCTGTGTCTGATGCCCTAATATAAGTTTAGGATGATTTCTGATAGCACATACAGTAGTTGATGCGCTTGTTGTGACCACGAATGGTAAAAAATGACAGTCACATTCCACTAATACTTCGTGGCTACGATTTTTAGTACAATTAAGCATTATTAGGAAACATGAGAGTGCTTGCTAGGGAGAATTTCCCCCAGTCAAAAACTTAACAACATTAACAAGCTGTACATTTAAAATATAATAGTCGTTTCTAAAAAAAATACTTACAAGCAAACATGAAATAGTTTAAAGCCGGGGCACATAAGGTCAGATCGCAAACTATTTAAAAATAACTAAAGTTACTTCTTAAAAATTGATATCACATTGATTCCAAAACGCGAAAGATTTAAATTAAAATAAAATGGCTAGAAAATAATACATCCTAAAGGGATTAAACATAAAGTCCATCTGCTTGTTTACTACCTGTTTGTTGCGCATTTGGACTGGATATACCCTCAGACCAATCTGAATTAGAGTGCGGTGACGAACTAGACCAGTACAATGGGCTTTCTGGCGAATCAGTCGGAAAACTTTCCGAAGGCGGAGCTTCCGAAGGGGGAGCTTCCGAAGGGGGAGTGAGGTAGTGACATGTGAAGTTGTGGTATGGTTGCGTTGGCAAACCAGAATTCATGAGTGGCTGCTGATACGGTGGACCCATATTATTACACAATGTATCAGAGAAATCAAACTGCATAGCTAATTGTTTTTGATGTGTAGCGACTCGCATCGCTGCCATGTGGGTTGGCGACGTTGGCAGATTAGGACCACGTGTTTTTGCCGGTGAGGGCGATAATGTCACACTATGTGGGGGCGATGGTTCTTGGAAACCATGCAGTCCTGAGTATGGATACTCAATGCCTAAGCTCTGCATTGGCATAGCCTTGTTGCAATCTTCATATGAAGGAAGCTGATGAATGACAGAATTGTCATAAAGAGATGCTTCAAGGCCTGGTAGAACAGTTCCTTCAAGAGAGGATGGCTTTTTATTTGACTTATTTTTAATACTATTCTTCCGCCTTACAGATTGCGTATTATCAGAATCGGGACTATTGAGGCTACCATTATTCTTGTTAAGTCTTTTCTTTGCTTTGGCACTTCCACCCTTTCCAGAACCGATAACTGTGGGCTGGCTTATTAGATGGTGATGGTGGTTCGGCGAGCTTAGCAGGGTGCTGCCATTCAAGTTCACAGACACCATTTGTGGCGAATGAGGGACGTGCTCATTCAGTAATCTCACTATATCATGATGAAGCCTTTCAGACGCAACATCACGAGGTAACCGATCCATGTGATCGGTGATTTCTCTATTTGCAAAGTTATCAAGCAAAGCTTTGCATGCTTCAAAGCTACCCTCACGGGCTGCTAGGAACAGAGGAGTCTCGTCTTTGTCATCTTGGGCATCTCGATTAGCGCCATGGGCGAGCAAAATGTTAACAGCATCTGTGTTATTGACAGCTGAGGCCCAATGGAGAGCAGTTTTACCACTGTTGTCAGCCAGATTAATATCAGCATCTGCATTGATCAAATCTTCCACCATGCCTTCGATGGCTAGCCGCGCTGCCAAAATGAGCGGAGTGGTTCCATCATGCATTTTGGCATTGAGGTCTGTTGCTCGATTCCTGAGCAGAATCTGGAATACGCCCATGGCATCGGCCGCGACTGCAGCATGCAAGGGTGTGCGGCCAGTGTTATCTTGAGAGTTGGCATCTGCACCAGCATCAAGAAGTCTCTTTGACTTATCGGACCGGGCATAGCGTGCAGCACGATGTAACGCAGTTTCACCTGTTTTGTCCATCGCTGCGTTGATATCAACACCCTGAGCCACCAAATCAGCGATATGAGCGGCTGTATTTTCATCTTCTTCTTCGTCACCTGTTTCAAGATTGGTGCTGCGTGCAGAGGCCGGCATCAGACAATTCATTCCATACTGGCCTGTATTGTTGTCCAGACTGGGTGGGGTCAAAATCAAGGAGTTCTGATTGTCCCCTGAGTGAGGAGGCCACATATGCTCATATTCTGAGTCCCCTCCTCGAGCTCGTTTGGCAGGCGGAAGTTCACTTTCATCATCAGACCAATGATTTGAATTCCCTTCCAAGCAGCTAATCGCCTGTTGCTTCATGTTGCGCATTTCCTGGCCATCGGGTCCTTTGCGTCTACTTCTCCTGTGTTCATTATTGTTGGTCAAGAAACCTTCCGGGAACCAAGTTATACCGTGAGCACGTTTGCGCTGAGCCGTTACCATGACACCTAATAGGAGACCAATCAGTAAGGTCATGATGACACCAACAGCGATATATGTACCATTGGCAGGGGTGTTATTTGCTGGTGTATCTGGAGAGGAAATACCACGCACTTGATAGATTGGGAATGTTTTTGGGAGAGTGTGAGAGACAGCTGTTGCAGCAAGGTACTCCGCTGCTTCGCTGGCACTAAGGAAACACTCAGCACCAGGATTGTTTTCGCACCCTCGGTTATCCAATTCAAGATAGACAATGACACCATTCGAAATTCCTCCAGAGGTTCCACCGCTTGATGCTTTCCAAGGATAGATCATTTCTTTTCCATCAGCATCATGTTTCACTCTCACCGTTGCTCGTAAGTGATGCCCGTACTGGAAAAAAAAAAAATGCTGATTAGAATTTTGGCTGAGAGGTGTAATTACCATTTTTGGCATAACTCAGAAAATGGTGTCTCATCGTTGGAAGTTTTATTAGGAGTTAAAAAAGAACTAAGGAAAAAAACTTGAGGTTAAGTTGACATAAAGTTCATATTGCTGCAAACTTTAGAATTATAGTACACTAAAGCGTTCTGTTGTTGGTTATTTTGACAAAAAAAGAAGCAACAATGAAGACAGGCTTTAACACTTGGCTGATCAGCAGCAGTTACAGAACTAAAAGCTAACAAAAACTTCATGCAGAATTTGTCAAGTGCTAAGAAATATTAGATTTTGGGACGGATTTTCATTGGATAATAAATGAATACTTCATATCCATCCACAAATAATGCTTTGTTTGTTTCCTTCGTTGGTTTACTCTCCATGTTTCATAATTTCCTTCATCATCAAAAATACTCAGGTAAGCGGGAATCCAAATGTTTTAACGATTTTCTTTAAAATAGCATTGCAGAACCTTTTCATAAATCTAGATTTCTGGTCTGCTTTATAATTTTGGCACTACCATGGAGAAAAGTATTAATCTTTGGCTAAACTTTTTTCATATTTTTCATGCGGATTTATTCTGTACAATTGCTTTGCCAAGCTTGCTTGAAATACATATTATTAATACTTAGCAGGACCATGGAACTTATATTACAGAAAAATATAACAATTATAGAGAGGTAAGATTCATTTATGAGCTCACCTCTCGCAGGAAGTTGATTAGATTTTGTTTAAAGGTGCTTATATCCATCAGAACTACCACAGACAGTGCTCCTTCAACAAGGCTAGGAGGAAGATTGCGGACACAGTCAAGACCATCCCAGTTACATTCAGCATTGTTACAACCAGGCTCACAAATACCGTTGTTATAATGTTGCGAGCAATAATAATCAAAAACAGGGCTGAAAAACATGACAATGATCTTTAATTATTGAAAAGTCAACAGAGAGCAACATTTAAAAAAAACCAGTGATTCTTACAAAAAACATTTGGAAAGAGGGTTCTGTTCCTTAAGAGAGTAACCATTTTCTCTGAAAGGATTATGGTACATGATGATCAAACTCTAAGATACGGAAAATAAAAATCTAGATCTGAGAGATCACTCCAGAGATTAAAAATGGCACCAAAATCGGCGAAAATCATTGGAATGTCTTACGACAAAACAACAACAACTGCATACCAGCCTTCTCCTATGCTCTCAAATGTGACAAAGAACACAGACATTCCTTTGTTAATCATTGGCTAAGGTGTTCAAGTTACTGGATAAAATGGATAAAGGTCTTCTCCGTAGAATTTTATACCTTAGCATAAGTCTACTTTATGCAATTTTGAACTGTAAGTTGACCAACAATTTTTTAGGCAAAGTGGAACCTTCAGAAAAATTAATTTAAACTAAAATATTTTTTACAGATTCTTTTTATCTGCAAGAAAAGGAGCAAAAAAAAAAAAACACTTCTTTGAAGAAATGTATCGACTGAACATTGTCTCATTTTCGATCAGGGTATTAATCACTTAACCACTGGAAAAGTTAATCAACCTTTCCCTTCTTCATGATCATAAATATTTGATTATAAGCAAGATTCATACCTTTCTGACAGTTAAGATGATAAAACAAGGCAATTCAATAATAAAGTAAATGACTTACTTGCAGGGTTGAAGAGACTTTTCACAATCTCTGCCATCAAAGAGACATTGAGGGTTGTTGCAAAGCTCGTCACACTGTCCATTCATGAAGACCTCCCAACAGTTGATTGGGGCAGAGCAGTTGAGCCAAGGATTGATACCCAGGGAACAATCACCACCATCAAAGTTGCACTCTGGCCGATTGCATTCTTTGTCGCAGTAGTAGTTGCCGGCTTTTTCTCGACACCGTTGGGAGCACTGCTCTTCTCTTCCTGGCTTGACTCCAAACAGAATTGTCTGTGATGGACACAGCAATTATTAGAAATAAGGGAAACACAATAGGAAAATATGGGTTTGAAGCTTTGATTTTGATGTTGATTTACAAATGACTGATACAGTGTCCTTCTTTGCTTGAGCAAGTAAGTGCTGAACTGTTTAAATACAGACATTAGTTTTCTTTTAAGCTGATACTAGGAGGCAAGATTTTGTAATTGAGTGATCAATATCAATACTGATCAATAAAAATCAGTTCGATTTGAAAGATTTTCTTTACTAAAATTCTGCCCTCACTTTATACACCACGAGGCTTTCATGAATGTATTTCCAGGAGTCGATTGGCAGAACCAAAAGCAAAGTGCCTGGTATAATCTCACTTCCATGGCTGCAAAATCCTCTTCTCACAGGAGATCGCTCAAGTGAAACACACTTTAAAATTGCTTAAGGAGGCCTGAAGTTTATTTTCCATAAACTTCAAAGATGCATAACATATAAATAATCTGATTTTGTCTGAATTTGTCTGAGCTTACTTGAAGTTGAGTTGCAGTTTAAGGACGGAGAAAAGCCAGAAAATACAAACCTGTTTTCCAATGAAACTGCCAAGGCCACCTCTAGAATTGATGTCAAAAAGATCACAATTCTTTCCAGTCCAAGTTGGACGGCAGAAGCAGGAGTAGTCTCCGATGCGGTCTTGGCACTCTCCACCGTTTAAGCAAGGGTCGCTTTCACACTCATCACGACTATCGAACTCGCAATGTGATCCCATAGAGCCGATCGGGCAGTCACACCTTCAGTAACAAAAAAAAAATGATAAGTCTCATGAATGAAAGCTGTTGAAAATTACCTTGAAAACAGAATTGGCATGTCTTCAAAAGCCTTATAATGTGGTAGAAGCCTATTTAAAAATGACTTGTGCAGATTTTTTACTTTCAATCCAAATTATACCTGAACTCTTGAAACATTCCACTCCAATTAAGCCTAAATTGTTATCTATGAAGACCTTTGGGTTCAAAAAAATTCTGTTATAGATCTGCCGGAGAATTGACTGAGCATTCTGATTGAAAACGTTGATATCTATAAAAAAATCACATATTTTTCTTTAAAATTGGTTTAACTGAAGTGTTGATGAAGGGCCGCCTAATTAACATGCAAGGTAGCTCATCTATGAACATTCTTTCAAGGATGGTCCTGGAAAATAAATATGTCTTTGTACAGGTAAAGCTCAAATTCCAGATCACCTTTTTGATACTTTACAAAATTTTCCCCAGGCAGCAAGTACTACACTACAGGATTCCTAGTTTTTGTAAGTTTGCTTGAGTAGCTTGTTGTTTTGGACAATAAAAGGGGATGAGTTACGATGAGGAGAAGATGTTTTTGAATAGATTACAGAATCTGTTGATTAAGAGGGTGAATTTGCAATGGGGATGTTGTAAAATCATTCAGTATAAAATATCTGCTAAGTAGATGGCAATACTGACCTGTAGCCTCCAGAATCAAGTGACACACAAGTTCCACCATTCTGACAAGGGTGAGAAGCGCAGTTAAAGCCAGAGTATTCGCAATTTTTGCCGGAGTAGCCCTCTGGACAAAGACACTTGTGTCCACCCTCAATGACAGAGCAAACCCCACCGTTTTGGCACGGTCCGCTCTCGCAGAAATTGACTTTCAGTTCGCAAATGCGGCCCATATAGCCTGGCTTGCAGTTGCAATGGTAGTTGTTGATGAGTTGCACGCAGTCTTGTGTTCCATGGGGAGAGCAGGGGTTTGAAAGACACTCGTTGATGTCGCCTTCGCAGCGTGGACCAACAAAACCAGCTGGACACTTGCAATCGAACCCGCCAACGCGATCAATGCATGTTCCATTATTGTGGCAAGATGTGGGGGTGCAGTCATCCACATTGATTTCACAGAGAATTCCAAGAGTACCTGTGATAACACAAGCAAATTGTTAGCGTGAAAAATCCAAAGGAACTTAATTCTTAGCTCACCAGGAAAATAATAACATAAGGTTTCCTGACTTTTTTTCTATCAGGAATGTAATTGACACATTCATAGTTTGGATAGGTCAGTTTTGGAATGCTCAACCAAATTTTAAAATAAATGTTTCATGAGCCACTTTACTTTAGTCAGTCTAATACTTTGGGACAAGGGGGAGGGGTTGCAATAGATATACAGTAGTATACAAATACATTATATAAAAATTGTATTTGAGAATTTTAAGTGCCATTGACAGTTCCCTTAATTAAAATACTTTCCTAGGGAATACAGTGATGCAAAGCACTTATTTCACTGAATGAATGTCTTTTGTCATCAAAACATCACAGGCTACAAAAAATTACAAAAACGGACACCCCACAGATTTAACACTTACACACGAAATTAGACAAGTGTCAAAGTTTGAGCGAGAAACATAATTTGATTTTAAAGGAATGAGAGCAACTGAAATGACACAGCCAAATACAATGTGCAACTAGTTAATTACAGAAGAGTGATAGAATAAAAAATAAAAGTTATAATTCATGAAAAAGGAGAGCAGTGGTTTCACGCTCAGCTTGATAACAGAAAGAAAACCACAGGAAGTGGTTTTTTCCATAATCAGCAAGCAACAGCCGCAACTCATTTCCTATGGGTTATATGGACTGAAATGATGGAATTAAGCTTCAAAGTTAAGTTCTAACTAAAAAAAAAAAGAAACTGCCATCATTAGCTCCTTAACCATGGATATTTGAATCTTGCTGCCCCCTCGACCAATTCAAATTGGTTATCATACCTACTTCATAAATATTTTTCAAACACTTTTACATCTACTGCTATATTCATAAATTGAAAGAATTTCGGTAAAGCTTTCAAGAGCAGTGATGAATTTTGCGCAACAAGACATCAAAACGGTTTTTATCTTGACTCATAATACAAACTTGCACATGAAATTCAACATCTCCCGAAGAATCAGTAGAAACCTCGCTTTTAGGCACTTCAATTTGATGCGACCTATTAGGAAAAGAAGTATCTGTCAACTAGCATCCAAAACAAGCAAATAATACAACAACATACCTGGCGGACATGAGCAACTGAAACCGCTGACAAGATCATGGCAAGTACCACCATTTTGACATGGGTTTGGTTTACAATCATCGACATTAAGCTCACAGTTTTGACCCTGGAAACCTTTTGTGCAGGAACACAAATAGCTGCCGACAAGATCTGTGCAAGTGGCGCCGTTCAGACATGGAGCTGAATCACATTCATTGAGTTCAATGGCGCAATAACTGCCTGTGTAACCTTCATTACAGATGCATAGGTGGCTGTTACCAAAATCTTCGCAAGTTCCGTTGTTACACAGCAGATCGCGGCTGACTCCTGTAGAAAAAGAGAATAAGTCTAGAAACCTGATAAGACAAATGATGAGCTTGGCTTGCTTCAGAGAATTCTTGATCCTATTTGCAGACAGGATGATCAGATTGTTGCGACTTTAAAAAAAAAAAGGCATCACTTTTGTAGAATAACAGGAGAGAATTGTGTCTTAATCAAACTTTTTTCCGTAATTTCAGGATTATTCTGTTCGTAAAGCTGAACTTAACCCAAATTGTTCAGCAAAACATACACAGACCACCATTTCCATTGCATCTGCTGAAAATAATCATTAAGCTCTTAAGGGTGCTCTTGGGAAGGAACATAAAAAACTCAAATGCTGAAGTTGGAGCAGTAAAGAGGGGAAAAAAGGTTTCAGGAAACAGTTATTTTGGAGCTGATTTGAGATTAATGTGGCTATCCTTAGTGGACTTCAAATGTTCTAAGACCATCTTTCCTTTCCCATCAATTGACAACTCATTTGTCAAAACACACACGACAAAACAACACAACATATGTCTTCTGCCCAAACTGAGTGTCAACTTGCACAGTTCTTCTTACTTACTTGAAATGCACAGTGCCCTCCTTGCGATAATTCTGAATATTTATTTCTGCGACCAGATTTATAATACTGGCTCCACTTACCCGTAATAATGCATTATTGCTCTTTAACCTAACTAGTTCAAACAATTTCAGAGAGCTCTTGAAAGATCATACCTTTCCGTATAGCTGCATCATAACACGAAACCATCTCTACATCGCAGACTTTTCCGGTCCAGCCTGGCGGGCATGTACAGTGGTATGATGGGCCTCGTTGGTGGCAAGTAGCACCGTTCATACATGGGTCGCCAGCACACCAGTCTACATAGTTTTCACACAGATTGCCTGTGAATCCGTATGGACAATGACATTTATAGTACCTTCCATAATCAATGCAGGTTGCTCCGTTCGAACATGGGCCTGAGTCGCACTCGTTGATGCGGGTTTGACAGTTGCTACCGGTATAGCTGTAAAAAATATAAATTTGCAATATTAACTCTGAATAAAATTGGAAAGATATTATGATGGTAATTTTAGTCAAAAAATTGGATACCAAGTTACTTAGGACAAAATTTTGTCTCAGTTTACATAGAACCTTTAGGCCGTGAAAAACCTGGCAACTCTAACATAATCCATCGCAGATCCATTCCCTGCTATTACTTGGTCCTACAAGACTCAATCCAGATTTTTCAATCAAAAAGTTAATGCCTGTTCTGTAGCATAAATAATAATTCTTACCCTGGTCTACAGTTACAAGTGTAGGAGTTGATGCCGTCAATGCAGGTTCCATTATTCATGCATGAGCTTTCGGTGCAATCTTGATCGTTGGTTTCACAACGAGGACCAGAGAAGCCATGGGGACACGAGCAGGTGTATGAGTTGACATACTGTGTGCAGGTAGCGCCGTTCAGACAGGGACTTGACAGACACTCATCAATGTCCGATTCGCAATGTTTTCCAGCAAAACCATCGACGCAGAGGCACGTGTAATCCCCAATACCATCCAGACATGCACCTCCATTCTGACAAGGGACTGAAAGGAAAAAATCATGAATTGAACAGACAGCAAAAAATGTCAGGGAATGTTATTCAATAAAATTAACCAGTATCATTCTACAGACAAGCAGTTTCATTCCTCTAGGCTTCAGTCAAGGCGATATGGGATGAAAAATATCTATGATTGCTATTGGTGTAAAAAAGGATAATTGAGAAATGCAAGCTTAAGAGGAAAAATTTAAGGATGAAAATATAAAAACAAGAGAATGACTAAACTAAAAATTTAGCCGACTGTGTGTGGAGTGAGACACTGAATCTTTGACTGATTCAATTCTCTGAATTTAGAGAATTACTTTGTATTAGCACTCTGTTTTAAGATGTTTGAGGAATGAGAGCGTGTTTTTCAATTTTCACAGAATCACTTTAAGTTCCTTTCTTGAAATGCTGTCAAATTAAAATCTGCCAAGCATCAATACATGCAAGGTTACAAAATGAGAAAACTGAAAGAGAGAAAAAAACTGCATTGAAAATAATTAACAATTAAAGTTGATGGGAGAAGAAAAATAAAATACTTACATGATGCACAATCATCAGTGTTGATCAAACAGTCGCGACCCTCATAACCAGGAGCGCAGGCACAGAAATAGGAGCCATTGGTGTTGTGGCAAGTTGCGCCATTGCGACAAGGTTGACTAATAGCGCATTCGTCCACGTCTTCGTCGCAGTATCTGCCTGCCCATCCAGATCCGCAGTGACAAGCGAAATCGTGGAAGTTGGAAGAAGGAGAACAGTGAGCTCCGTTTTTGCAGCTGAAAAATATATTCCATTTGGGTTAAAAGATCGAAAAATTACAGATGTCAACTGAGTGATAACATTAGGATCAAAATTAACGTTTCGCTTACATCGAAACTTAAATAATAAATAATAAAAAAGAGGAAAGAGGAAACTTTGATACACTTCTACTACTTCTTTGATAACTTCTTTAGGCAATGAATTTAAGCGAAGTTCAGACATCTAATGATGTGAGGAGGCATAATCAAGAGGAGACGAAAGTGAACAGATAATTCTGCCGGCTTCTTCCTCTGCTTGTTTGATGATCTAGGTAACTTCAAGCGAGGAGTAAACCATGCATTTGCACTTCCTCAAAGCACTTTACTTCATATTTTCAGATTTCTGTAAACAGATTAGATTTTTTGTTCCCTCGAAGGTACTAGCTACTTAAAAATACATACAATGGATACTGGAGAATGAAACATTTTTTCGAGAAAATACTTTTCTTTGTAAGAACGAAAAAACAGAGCAGTTCATACTCTCTTCAACTCTCTTTTTTCAAACTTGCCTAGGCAAGAATTTTCTTTTTTAATAGCTGTAACAGAAAGAACCTTCAAAAATACTTGACAAAATCAGGTGTTCATATTACAATAACAGGAGAGGAATGAGATATGATTGAAACCCTTACTTGTTTGGAGAGCATGGATCCAATCTCCTCTCACAATTTTGCCCTGTGAAGGGCAAAACACAGGCGCAATAATACGAATTTACTTGGTCAATGCAGGAACCACCATTGATACAAGGAGCACTGGCACAATCATTGATGTTCACTTCACAGTTTAATCCAGTGTATCCAGGCTGACAGGAGCAGAAATAGCCATTCAGGCGATCATTGCACACTCCTCCATGTTGGCACGGGTTGGAGAAGCATTCGTCAATGTCCAATTCGCAACGTTTTCCTGTAATAGACATATTTTGACATTAGATATTTAAAGCAGAAAATTTGCAGCCATTTTACGATAATCGTTATAAAGAGGGCTCCTTTCACTAGCAAATCGAATTATTGGAATAGATTTTAAAAGAAAATTCAAGTGCAAATGCTCTTACTCCTGGAGATCTAAGCTTCATTATTAACAACAAAAACTTTGTGTTAAAGCAATTGATAGGGTACGTTTGCACTGTTCAAAATGTTCTAAGTTATCGTCAGAATTATATATTTCACATCTGGAAGGAAAACAATGTTGTTCTATCAGCTTAAATGGTTCAAGAACAATTATAATGGGCAAAATCTGTTCTGAACTTCGATACTCTTTACACCAGAAGGACAAAACTTTGACATTTATCATTACTTGAATAAACTGATGACTTCATCAAACTGAATTGTTTAACCTTGTTTTTTCTTTTCTTTTCACACTTACTAATTGATTTACTCTCTCATTCATTTGAATCAGTATACCATCTTTGGTGTCGTGTGGCATTGACAAGGTTTTGAAAAAATGTCATTATGAATCTTTGATGGATAATACTCGGTGGTTTCGAGGTTTGCAGGGGGCAAGGATTTTAAAATCATGCCAATACAAATTTGAGAAAAATAAAGGCAAATACTTACAGAATACACAGCTTAAACATCTTTGGTCAAAAATTCCTAGGTTTCTATGAGAATAATTATATTGGCTGGAAAACAGTCTTCTTTGTAACTTACCTCCGTAACCAGGGAGACATTTGCAGATGAATTGATTGAGACCATCTTCACATTTTCCATGGTTCATGCAAGGGTTGCTTGCACACTCATCAACATCGCTCAAGCAACGGGCATCGTAATATCCACGGGGGCAGTCGCAACGGAAACCATTAATGAGATCAACACAAACACCATTATTAGCGCAAGGATTGCTGGCACATTCGTTAATGTTTGTTTCGCAGTGCTGACCAGTAAAACCAGGCAGACATTCGCAGGAATACCTGAAGTAGGAAAAATTAGAATTAGAGTTATTGTAAATATGTTTCAAGTCACAGGGAAGGTCTTCAATGGATAGAAATCATAGGGAGAAATGTTAAACAAATTTTGATAAAACAGGTGCTACACTGTTAGGTCATGTTCACTTTTTTGTAGAGTGAACCTACACAAAATAAGTCAATTCCTCTCTTAGACAAAATACATTTCAAGCTGAAACACCTTAGAGAATGAGGGCTCCCAGCACGCATACTTGATTTGAATAAACTATAAGTTAAGTATTTCATTGGATTATATCAAATATAAAAATGAATACCCACCTGTTGATTCCATCAACACACTTTGCACCATTTCGACATGGATTAGAGTAACATTCATTGACATTGATTTCACAATTGGGGCCTGATGTTCCTGAGCGGCATCTGCACTGGTAGCCATCGATTAGATCTTCACAAGTGCCTCCATATTGGCAAGGGTTGCTGGCGCATTCATCAATCTGGTTCTGACAGAGGTACCCGGTGTAGCCTGGGTAACATGCACAAGTGAACGAATTCTGCCCATCAATACAATCGCCACGGTGACAAGGAGAAGATTGACAATCGTTGATGTTCGTTTCGCAGCGTGGCCCTGTAAAGCCAGGAGGACATTGGCAAGTGTATCCGCCAACGGAATCGTGACAGATGCCACCATTTTGGCAAGGTGAGCTGATGCAGTCATCAATGTTCGTTTGACATCTGGTACCAGTGAAGCCAACAGGACACGTGCAAGTGAAGGAATTGATTCGATCTGTACAAACGCCACCATTGAGACAGGGATTGATCGCACATTCATCTATGTCAATTTGACACATATTTCCAGTAAAACCTGTGAACAAAAACACTCATTAATAAAACAGGCACAGGTAACATTAAATTTATTGGACATTTCTGTTGTTTGAAATAAAAATCAAGGACCAGCATTATCACTGTCATTGAATATCTGAATTGATATTGTGACACATACTTTTCAACATTCGACAAACCTACCTCCATACTGCTTCAAAAATAGAATTTTAGATTCGTGTTTTTAGGGAATCATGGATTTTAGTCAGTGGTAAAAGGGATTTTGATATTCCTGTGAGCAATCATAAAATACAGGAATAAAAAGTGAATGTAGGGAGAAAAACTTTTCTCTTCTATTCGAAACTTTACAGTTGACATAAATAAAAAGTCAAAAGGATAGAAGGAACTCATAACTCACAGCTTTCAGATACTAATTTAAAGGGCTATATTTTGTGAGCGTAGGGAAGCCAATGCCTGTTTTGCTCATTTGCTGCAAGTACCGCAATATACCATCGGTTCATGATGGGGATTCTAATTTTTACTGGATTCTGAATTTGATTTTCATGACTTGTGGCGGTGAAATGAAAAACTTCCAAAGTGTCCGAAACCTTGAGCACAGACTTGATGAAGTGTAATGAATTATTGCTGAAAATTTAATCTGTGTGCTGATGGTAAACACACACGTTCTCCTGGATGTTACACTATCATCAGTTCGTGACATTTTTCAAAGTGAAGATTTTGAATTAATGTAGTCGTTTCAAAAGTTATTCATACCTGGCATGCAAACGCATCTGAAAGTTCCAGGGTCATCCAAACAAGATCCTTCGTTTTGGCATGGATGCGATTCACACTCGTTGACATTGGTTTCGCATCTGGGCCCTGTAAATCCCTGTGTGCAGTTGCAAGCGAATGATCCAGGCGTGTTCACACAGATCCCATCATGTTCACAAGGAGACCCTGATAAAAAAAGGAAAACAAAGGTGAGTAATCGATCTTTGAGGAGAAAGGCATCATATTTAATCTTCTTTTTTCCCCAGCTTTTCTCTGTGAAATTTGAAAATTTCACGAGGAAATTTTTTCAGAATATTTCTTGCAAAATTAAATGCATTTTCATACGCTTAAAAGAACGGCAAAGTCAACATCTCCTCACCTTCCGGCCTGGGGGTCACAAGGCGGCGATTAAACATTTCTGCCGCCACTTTATTTTTTTACGGAGAAATTGTTAAACGACGCTGCCCGACAATTTTTTTTTTTTTTTGTGCTCCCGATAATATTCAGTGAAATTTTTCAAATTTTTCAAACATATTCGACCAACAAATTCTCTATAAAAAATAAAATGGCGGCGGAAATTTTGAAACGTCGCGTGGCGCTGGTGGTACTTCGGACGGAGCGTGACGATCTTAGAAATGTTCTACATGCCATTTCGCGAATTTGTCATCCGATTATATACATCGATTAATTTATTCCGATATGTCAACATATCGATATAAATAAATCTGATCTATCGATACACAATTGTCGATTTATTTAAACATCGGAACATGTCTAATCCGAATTACTCAAAACCGTTGAAAAGGCACACAATCTCCGGATAAAATTTAAAAAATGGGG